CCGCCTGCTCAGTGCAGGACACCCAGTTGCAATCTCAGATGGTTGACCAGTTGTATCTTGAAGGCCTCTAGCATGGTGGAGCCCACAACCTCTCCAGGTCCTGGATTCCATAGTTGTACTGCTCTAACAGTCAAGAAGTCCTTCCTGATGTTCAGTCAGAACCTGACTTTCTATAAATTGAGCCCATTATTCCATGTCCTACACTCTGGGATGATCCATAAGAGATCCTGGCCTTACTCTTTGTGACAGCCTTTCAGGTACTTGTAGACCCTGAAAGTCTTCTCTTCTCAAGGCTAAATATGTCCAGGTCTTTCAATCTCAACTCACAGGGCTTTGTTCCCAGTCCCAGTTCCTGGATCATCCTTCTTGACCTCCTCTGAACCCTTTCCAGTTTGTCTGCATCTTTCTGCATCTTTCTTAAACTGTGGTGCCCAGATAATCAGATGCATCCAAGAATACCTGGAGCAGGTTGTCTACTGAGAGCCCCAAGAATTAAATCTGAGGACATAGAAACATAGAAACAGAGCAAGTCAGAAGGGGTCTCCTGGGCCATCTAGTCTGACCTCCGGCACCAGCCGGCTCCACTCACAACATGCCCACCATGTGGACGTCCAGCCTATCCTTGAACACCCGCACCAATGGGGCCTCAACAACCTCCCGGGGAAGCCCATTCCACACCCTCGGGGTCCTAACTGTCAGGAAGTGCCTCCTGGTGTCCAAATGGAGCCTTGGTTCCCTGAGCTTGGCTCTGTTGGAGCATGTCCTGCCTTCCTCTGCAGGGGAGAACAGGTCTCTACCCACCTCCATGTGACACCCCCTCACATACCTGTATGTCGCCAACAGATCCCCTCTGAGTCTCCTCTTCTCCAGGCTGAAGAGACCCAGTTCCCTAAGGCATGTTTCTCAGTCTGGACTATAATATAAGAATGAGTCATAAGAACCCTGCTGCATCAGACGAAGAATCCACCTAGTTCAGCATTCTGCTCACACAGTGGTCACAGGGACCCATCAATGCTTCCCAGAAACTGGTGAAAAAGGTGTAGAGGCAGCATGTAGCCAACAGGACTAGTAGCAATGGATAGCCTTCTCCTCTGTGAATTTCCCAGTCCTTTTTGAAAGCCCTGTAAATTGTTGCCCACCACATCTCTATTTGCTGTGTGAAGAAGTCCTTCCATGCTAAATCTCCTACCAGGCAATAACCGCTTTGGGTTTCTCCCTTCTATGAAAGAGAGAAAAATGCTTCCTTATCCACATCCTCCACATCATATATAAGTTTGGACACCTCTCTCATGTCCACCCCCACTCATCTTTCTTCTGAGCAGATGCAATAACCTTTCCCCATGCAGGAGTAGCTCTTGATCATTTTAGTAGCCCTTTCCTGTACTATTTCCAACTTTACAATATCATGTTACATGGCCAGAACAGTACATACAATTTCAAGAGCAGTCACACCATAGATTTGCAGTTATGTGTGAGAGTTCCCCTTTTCTGAAACCAAAAACCAGCCCCTGCAGCTCTAACGACAGGCTTCTTGTGGATCAAATTCAAGTACACCATAAGAGCATGAAGAAGGCTTGATAATACTGATCCTTCCAAACCAAGCTTTTTCCCTCACTCATCCTCCTTGAACAAGTGAATGATACTAAGAAGACAGAAGAACTTTCTTTAGATGCATTCACATGGATCAAGGTGAAATTACATGTCCACCTAGTGGTATAAGAAGCTAAATTTATTTCAGTTACACACACACACACACACACACACAGAGAGAGGGGGGGGGAGGGAGGGAGGGAGGATGCATGCAAGCCTTTAGGTGGTGGAGAGGAGGATGAAGGAAGTTGAAGATTGCATGAAATCCTTATGGTGGTGGAGAGGAGGAGGAAGGAGGCATGCAAGCCCTATGATGGAGGGGCAGCACTGCCCTGACAGATGTTTTGGTCTACAGCTCCCATCATTGATTAAGCTGGCTTAAATGCAGGTGAACATGTCCAGAGGTCCAAAGATTACCCAGTCCTGCCCTGAGGACACAATTTTCTCATACAGCTTCTAGATTCTGCCAGCAAATCCCTGACATGGAAGCATAATAACTTCAGACTTACACCTTGGGAAGCAATTTCCTCCACTCTGAAAGTTGCAGAAAAACTGCTGAAACTCCCTCCCTCATGTTCTTGGAGGAGTGATGGGCCTGCAAAAGCGACAGCAAGGGAGTTTTTGGCACGGCTATAGAAGTAGGGTGGAGGAAAAGCAGGAGATCATTCTTATTTAAGTCTATCTGCAGTCTGATGTCCTACACGCTGGTTGATGTTCAGACACTGAGGAGACGTCTTAGGATTGATGAGCAAGCTCAGTTAGGATCCCGAGGACTGGAAAGGAAAATCGATAGAAGCCCACAGAGTTTCTCTGACCAGGCTCTGGAAAACTTGTTGACCCAGCATAATGCAGACATAAAAGCTGTTATAAATCCTGGCAGCTAAGCTCTCCTTATCCTTGACATCTATTGGTTATGGAAAGATGTTTTAAAGCAAAGAAGAAAACTTTCCAGACACCTCATATTTTCCATGCAATTCTTGAAATTTTCATTGAGTCCAGTGGGGTTTGAGAGTGGTTAACATTTCTATCACCCGTCTTGGATGCACACCTTAACTTGGTGAGGGGGGTTGGAAGCATCAGAGGAGTAGAAACCGCTGCCTCCTGGAGGCTGGACTCTCTCACTAGGCTGGTCTCCCAAGATAGTATGGTCAAAACGAGACACCAGACTGAGATGCATCCACCCTCAGAAGGAGGAATGGCCACATCAGCTGGACAGAAGGGATCTCTCTAATGGTGATGGGATGGGAAAACTCCTGAAGGGCACTTGTTTAGAAGCAGTGAAAGCTGCATGCAGGACTGGTGGAGGATTTTTTCACGGACAGCAGCACTGTCCTCAGGCTAACTCTGGTTAGTCTTGTACAAGGGAAGGCGATGGTAAACAACCTCTCAATATTTCTTTCCCTGAAAACCCTAAGGTGAAGCAATCCAAAATGAAATGAGTGATAATGCCAGAAGATGAGCCTCCCAGGTCAGAAGGCACTCATCCACTTATTGGGGAACAGCAAAGGACAAACACAAATAGCGCTGTTGTTACTGTCTCGGTTAGATCAAAGCAGAAAGGAGGTCTAGCAGCTGACATGCAGAGAGGAGAAAGGGGAGTCTTGATGCCACACAATGCATACAGAATTGCGGAAAGTATGAACCAAGGCAAATTGGAAACAAGAAATGGAACATGTAAACACCATAGTACTTAGAGATGAAGGATGCTGAAGTGGATTGGAGCAGGACATTTTCAATTAGACAAACACAAGCATTTTATTTTTCTTGTTCCCCATAATGTTTGTGGCAAAGAACTAAGACAGTCACTTACACCAGTAGATTTATTAATCTTCTGACACAGATCTCTTTGGCAAGACACTCGGCAGCAATTGCAAGGTTAGCATGGTAAGACCCAAGTCAAGAATACCATGAGAGGTCAGAACTGTGAAATGTAGATAGTGGTGCTTTTCTGTCACTTCCGCCACAGTATGTAAAATGTATCGTGCCAATTCCATGGCTGAGCAATAGCTTTATTCGAAGCAACCTAAATGTTCCAAACGAGTGCGCAAGCATCCAAGTTCCCTGGACTTGTTCATCGGACAAAAGGTTAGTTGGAGGCAGAAGAGGCCGAACAAAAGCACCCGCTGCCTCTGTCCACTTTCCAGCCTCCATAGGAGTTCTAGACGTTAGCGAAAACCTCTCAATTATGGGAAGGAGCATTGTCTGATCCTTAGGAACGGTTCTGCCTGTCCCTCCACCCATCCAGGGCAAACAGAAGAGTTACCTAAGGAACTTTCTTTTGACACTTGAATAAAGAAGAGGCAGCTTACTATGCACTATTATTTTGAGTGGGCTCTCTAAAGGTGGGACCTCACTGACTTCATTGTTGGACTCAAGTGTTTTCTTCTTCATTCTGTTGGTGATTGTGCAGTCCCCACCGCCTGTGCAACAGCACCATCCTACCCATATTCCCCAGCGATAGGCGTATGCACAAATGCTACCTCTGATAGCAGAGACAGCATATTGACTCGCAGCCCTAATCAGATACCATTGCACTCTTACAATCCATGCCTTTGTCCAAACTTTTTTTAATAAAGTCATCCAAGTTGGTGATCGTTCCCACAATTTCTGGGGGCCAATCCACAGATTAAGTGAGTGCTATATGTGAAGAAGTAATCCATAATTCTCCCATGACCCAGCTTCAGGAACACCCGTGTCATCTCTCCCCATGCTGGCCTTTTTTCCTAAGACAACCGATCCCCCCTGTTTCCCCTCAGGTCCCCCAAATATTCCAGTTGTCCTTTTCCCATGCCTTTTCCAGCCCTACACTGTTATTTTTTTGCCTGATGAGCAAAGTAAATCCAGTACACCCAGACAGGTTCCATTCATTCTGTTTCTAATTTTGTGTAACATGAACTTTCCCTTTTCCATAGTAGCTGTACAGCTAAGGTAAAGTAATCTATACAGTAGCAAAAATTCAAAAAAAAATCACACATACACAGATGTGTTTACACTGGCAGTGACTGATCAAGAACCTTGAAGTATGTATATGTACTAGGTTCATGTAGAAACAATCTAACTTGGGTAGTCATACCCATTCTATCCATTCAGTTACGTGAATTGTACACCTGTCAGGAATGCAGTGTTTGTGTGAATGGTGGAGGTGGTAAACAGGGAAAAACCATTGTTAGACATTAGTAGTATTCTTCTACTCAATGGGGAAGGGAGGAGGGAGCCAAAATGAAATTTCTATAAGAACTGATGCATGAAGGATCCTATGAAAAGAAATTTCTACAAGAACTGATGCCTGATCTATCATACATGTCCATTTGTGTTCCAGCCTGGTTGGGAAATGGTAGCCACAGAATTCATGCCAGAAATGGGCATATCCACCAAAGTTAAATGCATTCTTCACTCAGCCTGTATCACATACACATGCCAAGGTTCTAGGCAGAATCTTGGGTTTGTGGCAGGTCCTGGACTAAATATTGTCACATCCCCGTACAAAGTCACTGTGTCTCTAAACTTGGAACTTGCAATTGGTTTTGCACTGGGGGTTCTAGTTCCATTTCTTCCCTATACTCTTCACCCTCCTGGAAAACCTTCTGGAGTACATCCCTCATCAGTTCCCTAGATCGACTGTTTTTTCTCCCAACCAGGAAATAAATGAGAGGGTTGACACTGCTGTTGAGACAAGCTCCTAAGCAGCCCAATTCTAGTATGTAGGGAGGTACGTCCTCCAACCTTGGGATCATGCAAATGACATTCAAAGGCAAAACAAAGAGGAGAGAGGAGAGAAGAGTGATCGCCATGGCTGTTGAAAGCACAGCCCGCTGAGCCTGCTGACTCTTAAAGAAGACTTTGATCATCAAAACCACAGTGCAGGAAGTTACAAGTGGGAGGCAAATCAGAGTCGCCAGCTTGAATGGGTACAACATAATGCCAGCATTTTCATTCTCCCCAGAACTGAAGCGGATTAAGTGGAGAGCAGAGAATAGGAAGGAGAGGATCCACACGACCACGCACACAATGACAGACAAGTGTGCTGGCTGTCGGTGTCGCCGCCAGACAGGAAAAAAGGTGGTCAGGCACCTGTCAATGCCAATGGCCGTCAGGAGGCTCTGGCTGACGATGCACATGAACAGGAAGAACTGGAAGTGCACACTTCCAAGATGCATCCCATCATCTGTGAAAAGCAGGAAAAAGAAGGATATGGCTCTGGATAGGAGAACTCCAATGTCAGCGATGGTCAAATTCAGGATGTAGATGGTGAAAGGACGCACCTTAGCACCAAAGCCGAGAACCCAGATGACCATCCCATTTGCCACAACACCAAAACAGGCAATGACAAAAGTAAAAATGTTGGTGATCAGTACTGAATAGTCAGAAAAATGATAATAATGGGGCTCATAAATCAAGGTTGGTGGGTCCAAGTGTACGTCATTAGATCCTGGCCCAGCATCCCAAAGGGAAATGGATGTCAGGTTCAAGTCTGAGATGATGCTCATTCTCTGTTTTTGGAGTTCATGAGTCTTCTTGTAGCAGAGACACTTCTAGGAGAAAAAAGGCAGAGGCAGGTTCAGTCACTGCAGCAGAGAAATACGAGCACAGCAGAACGTTTTTGGCATGGTGTTGTTTGCTTGCGTTATGCACTGAACCAAGCAGAGAGCTTGCTTTCACTTAATGGGAAATAGAATGGCTAGCTCTCCTAAGCCTCACCAAATATTCTTTTTTCCAAGTAGGCTCTTTCAAGGACAATGGGGCTCCCACAGATGCAAGAAGCAGCGGTGGGATATTCCACAGGTTTTATTCTGAACAAGTAGGGCCTGTGACAGAATGTTGAACTGTGGGGGATTCCCGCTCCCCCCACCATTTTCCTATTCCCCCACCCCAATAGCATTCTTGGTCCACTGAGCCTGCAGAATGCTCACTGGGCTCTCTTAAGCCCCCCTCTCCACTTTATTTTCCTAAATAACTCTTGTTTCGTTTTTGGAAACCTTAGATTTCCCAGAGCTTGGTGCTATCTCACCCTTGTTTCATAATGGCTCCATTTTGACTATGCACTTTTTTCCACTCAGCACTTGAATTTAGAACACAAGAACACAGGAAACACCAGACTGGATCAAGGGTCCATCCAGTGCACACTCCATTCACTTAGAGGATCCTGTTCACAGCAGCTGTCCTTCATGCAGGATGGGTGCAAGACCTCCTTCTGCCCAAGGAGGTGTATGCAGCCTCTGGTAATGGACATAGAACATAGTCAGAAAGGCAAGCAGACACTGAACGCCTTCCCTTCCCTGAATTTGTCCAATCCCCTTTCAAAGCCATCCAAATGGGTGGCCATCACCCCCTTCTGTGGCAGTGTTGTTCCATCAGCTGCTGTGGAGTCGAGCTAAATTAATTGGTTGTGTGCTTTCATGCATTTCTGAAAAGGAAAATAATAACAGGCACCTGTGAAGAACAATTATCAGTATACAAGAAGTGGCTTTCCGTAGACACTTGGAAGCAACACTGACGCAGGTTTGCTCCGATAATGGGGAGTCCTTCAGAAGCGTTAGCCCTTAACCTGGCACTCCAGGGGGTCATTATATGAGCCTGTATAATGGACTTCAACCTGACTGAGCTCTACAGATGGGCCTGAAATCACTACCTAAAATGTTGCTGCAGATCTGTAGGTGCTACAGCCTACTGATTCACTACATGTTATGTGGGGAGAGAACTGACTGGAGGACTGAGGCATTGCCGCCAGCTCCCCATCTGTGCAGGCTCCTTTCCAGCAAAGCAGGGGTCCACATCTGGCAGCTCCAGGATGCCCCTCAAGACCTTTAGTGTGTCCTGATGCCTGATGCCCCCATCCCCACGGAATCCCCCCGTGGCCAAATTCTCCACTGCCTGCACCCCGCACTTGATGGCATGCAAAGGCACAAGGACGTGCCAGAACATGCACCAGCCGCCGACAACTTTTCCTCCATGCACTTCAAGCATGTATGAAGGCCACTTACAGAGGGTTTTGGTCATTGTTGGATTAGAAAATGTGGCTTTGCCATAGTTGCAAAGCCACATAGCATGGCACTGGTCTGGCTGCAGAACTCACCATTTTAAGGATCGTGGCTCACAGGAAACCCACAATACTCAACCTTCTAGTTCTCATGGCTGTCCAGATAGACTGCAAGTGCGGACACTGCCTAGGAAAATCCTGGTTGCTGCATAAGATTTTCCACTGTTACTTGAGGGTGGGGATTTAGGTCCCTTGGCTAGTTTTGAATCCTTCTCATGCTTGGAGGAAACAGAGCCCCTGACACCAAAAGAAAGCAAAAGGCCAGCAGAAATAATGCCAGACATGGGACTGTGCATCCTGCATATAGGTTTCCAAATTCACTGTTTCATGGTACCAGCTTTAGGCTACCTTTGTACAGAAGAAAGGCAACTGGGATGGGTGAGACAAGAGAGCAAGGGCTGAATGCAGGCAGACACATTTGAGGGTGTTAGACTTCCTTTTGATGAGGATGTTAACAGAAACAGGGAAACAGAGCAAGTCAGAAGGGGTCTCCTGGGCCATCTAGTTTGACCCCCGGCTCCAGCCGGCTCCGCTCACGACATGCCCACCATGTGCACGTCCAGCCTATCCTTGAACACCCTCACCGATGGGGCTTCAACCCCCTCCCATGGAAGCTCATTCCATACCCTTAAGCCAAAGTCCTCTCAGAAAGAGCACCTAGGAAGCATGTAAACAGAGAGAGAAGAGCAGCACCATAGCAACATGAAGGAGAAATATTCAAAATATATACAGAAAATGCCCTACCTGTATCTAATCCACTATGCACAACGTTGTTCCCTTTTCAGAACTGCAGGTCCTGCAGCTCCATCTTCTCTGATGAAAGTTAAAAAGAGGATTTTTTTTCTCTTCTCCCCCATCCAACAGAAAGCACCTAACCCCAGGCAGAGGATATCAGAGTGTGGCTTTCTCGAGGTTCCAAATGGGTGGGCCCCAGACTTCACTTCTTCCTAAAATTTCCGAGCAAGCCATTAGCTGGTGCTCCATTAGCCCTTGGCAGGGTTCTCTCAGTCTCCCTGGTCTGCAAAGCTCACTCTCCTCTACTACTTAAATTACATGGTGGCAGTGAGCCAGCCATTTTCAGAGAAGTAAGAAAGAGGGATATTGGACCTCTGCCTTCAATCTTGCATTGCCATTTGGGGCCTCTACCCGATCTAGCAAGGGTGGCCATCCGTGGAATTCAGGAAATGGAGATGCTCTGGGGACCAGCACAGAGGGTGTCTTGGAGAGAGGCTACCGGCACTTCCCTAAGCTAATTGACTCAGAAAATAAACCAAGCTTTTTCATCCTTTTGGAGAAATAGCTCAGTTTCTCTCCATGCCAATCTCCTCTGAGCTGGCAAAGAACTCACCCATTATTCAAAAAAGACAATTTTCTACTGGGAAAAACTTGCCTCTGAGACAGATTCTGGCACTTTTACGTACTTTGAAAATGATGGATCCTCTAAAGGGAAGTGGAAAGGAAAAGGCAGTGGGTACAAATGTGGGTTTCCTTCCAAGTTTGCTGACACCTCCCTCTTGTTTCTCAGTCTTGGCTACACGTCATCTATCCATTCATCCATTTATTGTCCTTTTAAACTGTCCAGTAATGGAAGTTCACTGAGAAGGGTGCAATGCATTAAAGGCACACTGCACAAAGGCTGGAACAAACAAAAATCCCAGTACTGAGTAGAGCCATTACAGCCTTAAAATCAGATTAACCCCACATTCAGTGTCTGTTACGCCTAGTTATCGGAACTCAGCAACTGTTCACTATTAAGTGCACATAATAAGGAGTATACGAAGTATCAAAATTTCCATAGCAGAATCATTCAGAACAGTTACAACTACAGTGAAGGCCTGCTATATTACCTATGCCAGGCATTTTTAAAGATTTTTCCAAGACTGGGGATTGAAATGTCTTGGACAAGGTACAGTGGAGGGGATCTGGGGGTGGGGGGTCTCCAGCTCCCCGAAGCCAGTCACTGTTCCTCGCTCACTGCCTCTCAAGTTTTGCTGGTCCGTGGCTGGCAGCTGCCACGGGGTCGGAGTTCTGAATTTAGTGGGTTAAGAACTGGGGTGTTTTGCTGCTGGATCCCAACCATTGGATGGGCCTGCCAGGAGTGCACATGGGTTTCCTCAGATACTTTCCCCCAAGGTCTGCCTCTGTGTGCCATGTCTTTAGATAGTAAGGCTGTGGACAGGGACTGCCTTATCAATTCCACATGAGCCACTCTGGGTGCTTTTGGGCTGGGGAGTGGGGTATGAATGTAACTGCTTAAAAAATCCATTCATTCCTAATAAATAAGATAATAGGAAATAACTTCTAGAAGCTGTCCTTGATTCACTTTAAAAAGTGATACCCTCCTCTTGCATTCATTACTCTGCAGAAATTCAAAGCGCTTTGAATTGCATCATGGTGGGTTGCATGAACTTGGGAATGGGTGTGGCTTGGGTGGGGGTGTGGCTTGGGGGACGGCTCTGAATATCATGAAGACAGGAGACCCCACGTCTAACTGGCTGCCACACCGCTGCTCTTGTATGAGCGACCATCCAGAGCCAGTTCACCGTCTCCTTCCTTTGAGGCACCAGTTAGACAAAATGCCACTTTGATTATACTTCTCCTTTTGACATTTAACCTTCTTCAGTCTAAGGGAGAGCCCCAGCTTCCCCATTTTCATTCAGCACACTGAATGGAGCCACTAGTCCATAAGGACTAGCAACCTTACATACCAAACAGGAAACACTGAAACATTCCCAAGCTTGTTGATAGAGAAATGCCGTGAACTGAGAGCAGGCGATGGGATCCCCAAGAGTGTCCTCAAGGTTTGCATTTCAGAACTACGGTGCCCCCACTGAGAAGGCCCTGACTTCCCCCTTGCCTGTCCCCTTGCCTAATGACCAAAGATGCTGCCCATAGTACAGGACTTCTAACCTTTATCTGCATGGGAAAAGAGGGCTCCTTTCAGACCAGGTGTGCTACCACAGCCTGGCCACTGAGCATAGGTCTTGCCACCCGAAAGAACCCCAATTATGGTTGGAGTTACCACACGTACACAGACACTGTAAAGAAAAGAAAAAACCTTTCAGACAGGACCAGACGCTACCAGTGCATGCATTCCTCTTTCATTCTTTTTCCCTGCTACATTGTCTTACCAAGTAACCGTATCTTTCATTTAACTTTTAGAAAAGTTTGGCTATGTGGTGAAAGAAGACAGGGCCACATTGGGAAACTTCATTTCTCCAAAAACAAATCCTACACAACCCAATATCACTTTAAGGG